AGAGCAAATCCCAAGCAAGCTCCGCACTGTCAGCACAGAGCCTGGTGTGGGGCTCAATCTCACGAACCACGAGATCATGACTTGAGCCGAAACCACCCCTAACCAACTGAGCTACCCACGTACCCCTTACCTTGCTTCTATCCTATTTTTTGTTCAAGGGCCAAAGGTAAATGAATAAATCTGGTCTGCCCTGGTCTACTTGCCATCTCTTACCACACGGCCTAGATAAGACACACTTCACGGAGCCTCCTTCCCAACATCAGGAAGCCCAAATGGAGACAAATCCTTTTACAGAACAGACCAAAGTCAAGAGGAAACCGACTGGAAAGCTGAGCAACTATGAAAAAACCCTCCCCGGCCCGTCGCCAGTACCTGATGATGAAGAGCGGGTCCTCCCGGATTTTGCTGGCCATGTCGAGGAGGGAATTGGCACCGGATGGGGCAAAAATGGAACCTGGGAGCAGTCCTGTCTCCGAAGAACAGCCTGCCTCCTTCTCCTCCATCTTCTCAAAAACGTACTTGTCAATGGGGCGCCCCAGCAAGTACTCATCACGGTTCACCATCCCACCAGGACCCTGATACATCCAGTCCAATTTTTCTTCTTTTTTCCTAGGTCAAGACAAAAAAAACTACAATCAAAGGAAGCGTAGGGCTCTTGCAGACCTGCACACACAACCCCAACACGAGGCAGAGATGGCAGCTGGCAAGAGCACGACTCATTCTCCAAGCACCTAGTAGGGACTAAACGCTGTGCTCCTCGTGGCACATGAGAAGAAATGGTGCTTGCCGGCATGGAGCTCGCCATTTCGTGGAGAGATCGTTCCTCCACACTTAAAGCAATTTCTGTGAAGAAAGTATCCTCCGAGACACGGACCTTTGTTCAGGGCTTCTCAAGCCTCCTTTACAAAGTCCTTATGTTACGCTTTCATTTTGAGGATCATCTGAAACAATAAAGAGATTCTGCATCACCTCGTGACCGAGAGCAGTTTCAGGGAGCACGTGTGCGGTTGTTCGAGGTGTCTTTTGGAGCGTGGGCACAAGCAGGAATTCCACATTTGAGATAACTCAAGATGATGAGAAAAGACCAGAGGTAAGTGAAGAAGGAAATTATGCTTTCAAGCCAAAAGAGAGTTATCAGTATCAGTAATGTCAGTCATGTCTGGTATTTGCCAAACAAACATGGCCCTGTGCTTCTGAGGGGGAAAAAATGGTGGGAGAACTGAACCTTCCCGCAACAGACGGCAAAGGCACGCCAAATTAAGTGCATGCGCCGCAGCAGCCGATGGCACGTTTACACTGCGAGCGGCTAAGTAGCTTCATCAAAAGCAGTATTACCCGTAACATGAAATTCAATGTTTTTTGAATATGGCTTTTCCAAACTGGCGTATCTATTTTTGTTTGCGATTACGTAACAACTATGAGCAGAAGGAAAGTCTTCCTAGTTAGGTCTTTGGACATTTTTAATAAGAATATTTTAACCCAACAATGGAGGGTCACAATGCTTTCGTTTTAGATTTGTTTTTGTTTTTGTTTTTCCTGTGAAAAGGAGCGGTTTGAGAAACCCTCTGGTCTATAATTAAAAACTGATTGTGGGCCACTGGGGTCGGGCTCCACCCAGCTTGCCCAGCCTCACTCGCCCCACTGGAGTCAAGATGGAGGAGTATAGACAGGGCCGTGCCCTGGCGAACTGTGGGAGATTGTGGTGGGGCCTTTCCAATGAGTGCCGCAGGGAGTGGAGTCTTTCGAGCAATGAAAGGTTCTTACCGTTCTCCAGCTGGAGTAAACCAGCGACTACAGGAGGCTTTGACAGCTATTAAAATCAGGCCTCCGCAGTTGGGAGGTAGCTTTGTAGTTTGGAGAGGTCTGTTCTCCACGATCGATTGTTGTGTGGTTCAAGATAGAGGGAACGAAGGCCTCTGAAACTCCATCACATGTGCGGCCTTGATAGGAGCCACACTGGCAGCAAAAAATGGACCAGCGGCCATGGTTGTTGGGTCAGCTGTGATGGGTGATCCAAGGATTAACTGGACGAGGTGGTATCTGGTTGACAAGATTTGCTTTTGTGCAGTTTCTTTTTTTTTTTTTAAATATGATTTATTGTCAAATTGGCTCCCATACAACACCCAGTGCTCATCCCAACAAGTGCCCTCCTCAATGCCCATCACCCACGTTCCCCTCTCCCCCACCCCCCATCAACCCTCAGTTTGTTCTCTGTATTTAAGAGTTTCTTATGGTTTGCCTCCCTCCCTCTCTGTTTGTAACTTTTTCCCCCTTTCCCTTCCCCCATGGTCTTCTGTTAAGTTTCTCAAGATCCACATATGGGTGAAAACATAGGATATATCTTTCTCTGACTGACTTATTTTGCTTTTGTGTGGTTTCTCAATGGTCCTTAGTTTGTTGAAGACTCCTCCCAGTTGCCTTCAACCCAGTGACCACTCTCCCCATTGGAGACTATATGGACAATGCCAATAGGACTTCTTTCCCAGGACTTCTTTAACAGAATAAGTTGCAGTTCAAGAAGGATTTGGGAAGACCAAGGTACAGTCTGTTTTTAAACCATAGGATAACTATGGCCAAACAGGCTATGAAGAGACATTTAGCACACGGGGGGAAGGGGATGAGGTGTAAAGAGAGAATACATTTCTTTATCCACCCTTGGACTGTATTTGTGACTAAAGTAAATGTCCAATAGCATTAAAATAAAATATATATAATAAGTGCTTAGAAGGTCAAGGACAAAGGGCAAATAACCGTGAAACATGGCCACCATTTCCTTTGGGATTTCTGTGCCTGGGGCGAAAAAAAAAAAAAAAAGAATTGATTGTGAAAGGCAGACCACTTCAGATCTTAAGGATGTCTGAGTAGGAAGATCAGTGTTGCCTAGAACATTCTAGGAAGCTCACTTTCCTGAAAGGCCGTATAATCAACATGATGGTTAAGAGCACTAGCTCTGGAGTCGGGCAACAGGGATTTGAACCCCAGGTCTAAAGCCAAGCACCTTCTCCGAGCCCTGGTGTCCTCACCTGTAAAATGAGGATAAAACTGTACCTACCTCACAGGTTTGTTGGGGATTAAATAAGACACATCAGGCATATGATGTGTAATGCTTTGCTGAATAAAAATTTCAAGGGGCACCTGGCTGGCTCCGTCCTAAGAGCATGCAGTGCTTGATCTTGGGATTGTGAGTTTGAGCCCCATGCTGGGTGTAGAGATTACTTTAAAATAAAAATTAAAAAAAAAAAAAGA